CACCATTAGAGACCAGACGGTAAATCAGCGCACAAACCACACAATAAGACCTTTTTATTTTTAGTTTCTACGACGTAGAACCACCAAGAATGTAAAACCCAAACCAGCTGAAAACAAACTGACCATCATGAGGTCCACTCACTCCGGGCATCGGTTCTGAGCTGGGATGCCCCACAGGCTCTGCTGCGGGTTCCCAGAGTATCAGATTCTGGGAAACCCCCCATGGTCCAAAAACACAAAAGGACAGCTGGAGCCAAAACCTCCAGCCGCCGACCCGCTAACGCGTCACCTCCCGGCAGGATGTGGAGGAGGAGAAGGTTAGAGGATGTGGCTGTGACCCGGGAGTTCATCGTCTGGTGGTGAGAAACGGGGGTTTACGAGCTGAAACAATCACCCAATTATTGATTAGTCACGCTGCAGATCATTTAAAATACCAGATCAGAACACCGGCTCAGAGGCTACTTTCACTTTAGCCTGAAGTGACTCGTATCAGATTTTTTTCTTGACAGTCTGAACAACACAGATCTGATTTTTTTTCCGAATGCGACCCAGGCCACTTTGATTTCCGACAGGTATCTGATCTTTTCTGGCCGCGTTCATCTGACCTGAACGTCATCGATGTGCAACAAATGTCATTATTTTGCATTCTGCTACGCTCAAGCGGGAAGAAAAACGACAACCATGGTGGACGATAATGAGGATTAAGTTGTTCAAGTGCTGGCCTTTAAAATCGTAAGATATGCTCCACCATTAGCATCCACCTTTACTTCCGCAAACACTGGACTCTTCTTCTTTTTCTTTTTAATGGCAGTTGGCAAAAGTACTGAGCACGCTCTCGATGTGTGATGTTATTACGCCCTCTGCTGCGAATGCGGGACACTTTCAGGTCATTTTCAGTTCATACTGGAGATTATATACAAGTCCATATATTTGGAAGTGTGAACGACCACGCCGAAACATTCAGATTTCACAAAAGCAAATTGGAATTGAACATTTAGGTCAGCAGTGTGAACGTAGCCAAGAAATATGAAAGTTAGGCGGCAGCTTAGGGACCCCACACCACCAGGGGGCCCCCAAGAGCACTAAGATAGCAAGATAATTTATGAATATTAGCAGTGAGAATATTTCAATGTCTAGTGATTCACTACTGATTTTTAGGGCTGTGATTCAATTCAAAAACACGTTTTAGTTCATGGACATTTATTTTCTATTCAAACGGTCTAGCATATTCCATTTAAATGATGTGACAACAGTTAAAAATTTAGCTCAGGAATTTTAACAAAAAAAATTTCTGAAATTTCTGAGTTTCAAAAGTCAAAAACATTTCCATTTGATCTAAATGGAAATTTGTTTTTTAAAGAACATTATTTGTGTTTATGCCATGAATGCTGTGTCACACAGTCACAGTCATAGTTATCTAAAAAAGAAGTAATTTTTGTTATATTTTTTATTGTTGACATGTTCATATTGCTAATTTTTATAAAATTAAAACTGAAAAGATTTATTTATTAAGACATTTGTTGTTTTATCTCTTCAATAATATACTAAATAGACAATATATTATTGAAGCCAAGTAGTCTAATTTTGTTAGAAACGGAACAATGATTTTGGATCAGTCATTGTTGATCCAAAATAAAACCAGGATTTTTCACAGTATTTAATAATGGGTAAATATTTTCCAAAGCTTTTTCTGGGTTTATTCTCGTTTTTACAATGAAAGCTGGGCAGTGCTTGCTAGTTTTAGCAAAGTGTAAATACAAACATTAATTAAATAAAAATACTTGGTCTTGTACCTAAATAAATAAATGTTTAAGATTTTATTTGTCTGTAAAATACTGGATTGATCACAAATTCATTAACTTTAATTGTTAACCTAGGGGACGATCCTAATAGGATGAAGCCGTCCACCCTCATGCATTTTGACTAAAAATGTCCACATTGTCAGTCCTGGTTTAAGTATTTGAAGATTTTATTACTGAAGCAATTTATTTTTAATAATACTTAAACAATTATGAAATTATCAGATAATAAACATCATGTGCAGCTTTTTTATAAACTTCTATGGAACTGTACTGTTTAGAAATTTATTATCTAAAACTGTGAAAACAATACTTTAATTTGTGTGTATGCCGCCATCTTTGCACAACATTTTCAGCTAAATAAAGACTTTATTTTAGGTCAACAACACAGCAAAACCACAGTTGTCTGGGGTAATTGTAGTCATACAAAAAAAAAAAGATGTGATCTGTTATTTCTAGATGATAAACCCAGTCAGGCCACTTTTACAACCAAAGACTTCATGGCGGCTTTAAAAGTGACCAACTAGGAAAACAAAGCCCATCCAGACCACACACATAGATCAACGGATGGTGGGGAGAGTAAACTGCAAGGTGGGCATTTGTTACAGCTGAACCTGGATCAGCCTGAGGTCACATTCAGTTCTGCAAACTGCCTTGCAAAAGTTTTAAATCACTCCAGTCTTGCTTCAAAGTTTGATTCAAGCACCCAGACTTCATTAGTATTTCTCAAACCTCTCTAAAGACCTTTTAAGTGTTTTTCTTTTGTTTGTTTGGGGGGTTTTGGAATTTTGAGGCTTTTTCTGTCCATTTTTTGTAACTAAGCAGTCAAATATATAGCAGAAATTGTCTATACAGAGGATAAAAGAAGAGTCAACCACGAAAAACTATCCAGAAGATAAATAGTATGTCTTTACAAAAAGGGAGAAATGATCCACCAAAGGACAAGTTTCAGCTGATTGGTCTGATCTTATTTTTAATAAATTGAATTAATCCCTTCAGACCTGATTTCTATCTACACAACATTTCTTTTATTTTTACTCCACTTCAGCATTGAAATATAGGGGGAAAAATATATATTTTTTTACAATCATTTGAAGAAAGTCTGAGTTAACACACTTAAAAATGGATAATAATTATGAAACCACAAAAAGAAAATCTATAAAATACTTCAATATATTATTTAATTTGCATGGTAACACTAATTAATTAAGCATTAGCTAATATTTCCCAACTCCTCAAGTCCATTGGGATGGACATTCAACTTTGAAAAAATTCCACAATTTAATAATGAAAATATTTTTCAAAACAACTTAAAAATATTTAGAATTATAAGAGTAATTTTACTAGGTTACCATGAACTTAAATTACTCGTCTAGTTTCAGAGTAATGTTTGTCTTGTCTGATACCTGAAGTTCAGTCAGTTATCAAGTCAAGATTTATAACTTCAATGTCATCATTGGTCAAACAGAAACTATTCAGTAACAAGAATCATTAAAATGACAAAATCACTTTTTTTATTGGTTTAAACCCAGAAATTTATCATGTTCATTCCAGTGGATGTGGGGTTTTTGAGATAACTGGTTCTTTGCTGTTTGCTATGTTTTTATTTTGAGTTTGGGAGATTATTGCGTAAACAAAATAAGTTATCTGTCACCTGCAGCTGTCAGACAAATATGTTTTTTTATATACGACTAAAACAACATTTTACCTGTGATAAAATGTCAGATTTTGGCAATGTAAAAAACTTCCCACCTTCAGTGTAACCTAAAATATGCACAAAGTTAAAACAATTAAAAAAAAACAATCTGAAATATTTTAAAATAGAAAAAGATCTAGATCTGGGGATGTTGCTCTGAATGAACCGCCACATTCAAACTTGTCTTAAATAAGAGACAGAAAATATCCGCCATCATTTAAAGTCCCCAAAAATAACGCTCAGTGGGTCAAGTTACATTTCCTAGTAAAAGTTGAGGTCTACTGAGAGCTTCCAAAGCATTAGAGGGATCAGGGATTTCATAACTCCTGAAACACAGCTCTGATGAAGAAAATATGGCGCAATTTCCAAGACCTGAACATGATTTCAAAAGGCCAAAAGCCTGGATAGAGTTTCCCAAAAGACATCCTGAAAACATATGGCAAATAAAACTAAAGTGCACCATACACACAATGAAGCATGGTGATGGCAGCATCATGCCTGGGAGTTGTTTTTCATCTGTAGTCAAGGCTTCATAAACACAAAATTGCTGAAGGTGGAGATTGATTTAATTTTTAAGCAGGAAACAAAAAGTCAAACCATCCCAATGAAGAAAATAATGGCTTCTCACAAGGAAGATTAAGACATGAATCTGATTCAAAAAAAAAAACTGATCTGGAGTGTTTTTGGAAGGAAGTTAAGATTTGCTATACTGAAAAAAGCTGTTAGAAAAACAAAAGATACTTCTGCAAACACCTAAAAGATTTCAATTTGACAAGATAGAAGTCACATTTAAGTTCAAAATATCAACCCTTGAATGAACACAAAATCTTACCAAGTATCCAAACATCCATCCATTTTCTATACACCCTTGTCCCTTCTTACCAAGTATCTTAAATCGGTGTTTTTCAACCACTGTGCTTTATTTACATAAAGCAAGCTCTTGCTGAAAAGTTACTTGTCCTATTTCAAGTGTACTAAGATATATGCTCTAGAAACTAGACAAAAGATACTTAGGATACTTAGTAAGATCTTATATTTTTGCAGTCCAAACATTTCTTTGAAAGTGGCTGGTCTCTCAACATGTAAATAAGGATAAAAGCAGCCAAGGTCTGCAGAAAAACCTTCAGAAGACCTAAAGAAATATTGACCAGGACAACCTGGTCAGGAAGCTGCCTGGAAGGAAAACTGCGAACTTCACTTTTAAATAACTGAGTACATAGATGCAAAAATCCAATCCAATCCTCTGTGCTAACAAGATGCTGGTCACTGCTGATTTTTGATGTTTGCAGGAATAATCCGCCTCTATAATCCCACCTAATTCATAGAAACACGCTTCGTCAGAGTTTAGAGCTGTGTTGGCACCTGTTTATCTCCCAGAAGTTCATTTTCTCCTTTAGTGTTCATGGTGCGATTATGGCAGACTAGGAGGATTTTGCAATAAACAGTGTCAAACATGCCCCATGATGTGACTCACTGCCTGTCTTCCTGTCTAACCCACTTGCTAGGATCTGAGCCAAGAAGTAAACTACACAGCCACGTTATCTTGGCTCCAGCGAGCAGCCAAGTGCAGCATGGGGAGTGGAACAGACAGCAGGGCAGTCGGGCAGCTGTGACGTTTTATGGCCTGTACCAGACAGCTGGGATAGAGGTACATCTCATCTCTGCTGTTTCTTCCTGAAAAGCACTCAGACTTCAAAAGTCCTGAAATATTTTCAATATACTTAGTAATAGCATAGTGACTTATACTTAAAGAGAAATCTATGACTAAGCACAATAATACTAAGACTTCATCCTATTATACCTCATTGTTCCGTACATCTTTTTCACAAAATCATTCTAAGATGATGAGATTTTAGTCACTATTAGCACCCTAACTCAACCCTAAAAATGGCTGCAAACAGATGCGCAATTATACAAACGTACATCTTCGAAAAGCAGAAGTAGATTCTCCAGCACAACCAACAAGATTGCAGCAATTGGTTTCTGGATAGTAAGTCAACAACAAAACACTTGTCTTTTTCAGCAGCCATTGTACAGCAAATACAGAGGTAAAACCAGCTGGAGCCCCTTTTGGGTTCATAAGTTTTTGAAATGTCTTGTTTTTCAGACACCAGAAAACATGAACTAATTTCCATAAAACAGCTTGGTGGAGGTTTTAAGCACATGTGCTGTTTTTAGGAGGAGTTGAGAGGCAAATGGAAGTATAAAAATGGACAAAATGTGAATTTTCATATTAGGGCCCCTTTAATGCTAATGCTTATGTTTGTACTTTGGTGTAGGCTACTTATTGCTTATTTCTGCCACAAAGTACTTAAGGTACCCTTATTTGAAAGTACTCTGTACATTGATTTGTGAACTAAAACACAAAATGGTTTTAGTGTACTGAAAGTATACTAAAATATGAACTAGAAGTATACAGCTCTATATTACAATGGGCGTAAAGAGAAGAGTATACTTCATTAAACTGAAACAGAGGCCAGAGCTTTTAAATCTGGCCATATCAGTATCATGAATGAACTAAAAGAGCCAGTAGTGGCAAAATATACTCATATTAAACTGATAAAATATGAATAAATTGCTGTCTCTGCATTCAATTAGAACTTAAGTTAAATAACATTGAACTTTTTTTCACATGAATGTAATTTGACAGAATACAGATGAAAACGTTTTTTATTTGACTGATAAAATAATATTTAGGCACACAACTATTTTCTTACTGGTTCTACTTATGTGTCTACTTAGAGTAGAAGGCCACATTAAACATTTTTGGCGTGCCAAATTTGGCCCCCGGACCTGGAGTTTGATGTATGTTTACTAAAATATATATAGTTGAGTGTACTTCTTGTACACTTCAATGTATGTTTTAGTAAAGTATACTTGAAGTATACCTGTAAACCAACACAAGTACATTGGCTCAACTTGAAATAAACTTCAAGTGTGCTACGTCTTGCTAAAGGATGACGACCATCAACCTTTTCAGTGAGGAAGGAATCAGTGAAATGGAGGAAAACTCACGGGTGAATCTTCCCCAGTGGGTCTCGTTTCGCCTCCCGCTGACCGGTGTGTCCGTCCGCTGGCTGCGATCGACCCAGATGAGCTGGCATTCACTGGTGATCCCTTCCACCGCTGCCTGTGTGACCCTGAGAGAGTGAGCGGGGAGCCCGACAGCTGGAGCAGATGAACACATGCCGAGGGAGGGAGAGGAGGAGGGAGAGACGGGGTAGGACGGCCCATTCTTACCCCCCCGCTGGCCCCCTGCGCTGCCACCCTCCACCCCTCCCTGACCCCCCCAGGCGGGGTTGCCAGATCTGACTGACAGTTTCCAGCCCAAACACAACGTAAAACCCGCCCAACTCCCAAGAAAAGAAGAAAGAAAAATCCCTCCCAAATCTCAACGTGAAGAGTTGGGGAGTTACTTTTACTTTAGTAACTTTTAGCAAAGAATATACTTTCAGGAGTATTTTTACTGGTCTGTGCTTTTTACTTTGGCCTGAGTAATTTCTGCTCTGACTCAGAGGTGAGCAGTGTACCCATCTGATTTCCATAGAAAAGGCAGCTGTAAATTATTGTAAATCTGAAACATAAAATCCAGCATCATTACTGTGTTTAAATTAAAAAAATACAAACCATATATTAAATTGGGATGGTTTTTATATTATCTTTGGATTTTGTGTTTTTATTTTCAGTAACAAGAACAGTATGTGGGTCACTTATTCTTTAAAAACTTTTTTTTTTACTTAGTGGAGTTTAGTAAAAGGGTCTGTCAAAGTCTGCTCTCGAGTAAATCACTGATTTACTGTGAAATTAATTAAATACTTTGTGTTGTACTTTACATATTTTAGGGGGCTTTTTGTTTCTTTTGAAAAGCAGTGAAAATTTCCCTGTAAGATTTGTTTAAATGCATCAACCTCCAACCTTGAGCTGGAATAAGTTTGTACCATTTTTATATTGTTGTCAAGGGCCACGCAAAATCACTTTGAGGGCCACAAATGGTCCCCGGGCCGCACTTTAGACATCCAAAACTTAATTATGGTAAAAATTCACAGTGTTTTGGGTTTTGCAAACGACTCAACTTTTTGAACACGAGACTTGTGTTGTGCTTTTTTTGTCCTATTAATTTGCTCTTTATTAACCAATGGCTGTTAACCATTGATGATGTCACATTCCACAGATTCTTGACATTTCAAAATAAATCAGTGCAATAAAACGCTGTTTTATTAAATGCTTTGTGATTTTCTATTTAGAAACAACTATTTTGAAAAAATTTTCAGTAAAAATCTGCTAAATGTTGTAAATTGAATTGATTTATTTCAACGGGATAGCACATATTAATTAACATACAATATTGTGCATTATTAAAGATGTAAAGTTGGTGAAAATTGGTTTATATATTCTTCAAATTAATTTTATTTAGTCAAAAAGTTATTTCTCCTGACATTTATTGATGTACAAGTTAAGCTGTGCTGCTCTTGACGGTTGGTGGTTACCATAGCAACCAATATCTGACAGCTCGTCTATCTTTCTTTTCCTGTTGCCGTTGGGGCAGAAGCTGGACGCTAACCACCAGCTTTATTTTCTCTTGTTTGAATAAACCTGAGTGTGTTGTGAAGTCAACCCACTGGAAAGAAGGGTTACAAATATATATTGGATTTAGCTAAGTGCTAATTTCCATCCGTAGTCTCATGAAATTTTAACAACAGCAAAGCTATTCTTACTTACTTTTTCCAGCTCAACGTGTTAAAAAGAAGCCCAATCGGGCGGAAACCAGCCCCAATCTGGCAACACTGCCCCCAGGGTGAAATTCCTGGTCTGCGGCCCAAATACCGAAATTCCAAATCTGTCCAAATCACACAGATTCACACACACACACACGCGCCCCCTCCTCTCCTCTTTCCTGGTCCCACAACACACCTGGTTTCATTTAAACCAAACCCCCGCAAAAGCCCCAGGCTCCCCCACCCTTCTCCCACTTACCCCCCATCTATCTGTGCTCACCAGCTTTTCCTTTTTTCCAACTTTAAGCCCTTGCTGTCGTCCAATCTGACATGAGGGGATATTTATAGCAGTGGGAGAAAGAAGTTAATGGAATGTGGACCAGGAAAAAAATCAACCCACTTTCCGAAGAACTACCGGGGAAAACTTGTTCGTTTCTTCCCGAAGCAAAATGCAGGAAACTATAATCACGCTCCTTTCTTGTTTGCACATGACTAAAGGATTTCTTTGCGTTGCAAAATGAGTTTTAATATATGATGCAAACTAATCGGGATGTTGCCTAACCAAAGGTAGTTCTTATGAGTCAATTTGGGGTCAAACAATGAAACAGCAGAAGGAAAAGAGCTTTTAAATGGAGAAATTAGTGGGTTATTTTAAAAATTAATTGATTAAATTTAAGTCCAGTTCCATATCAAACTAGTTATATCCTTTAAACTTTCAAATATTTCCGTGACAACCCAGACAAATTAGTTTATTCAAGTAACAGAAGTCTACTTGAAAAACTGCTCAGATATAATCACTAACTGTATGAGTGTTTGTCTTTGTGGTGTTATATTTTCTGTTTTATTTCTATTTTATTGTATATTCATTTTTTTAACTTGAATTACCTTATGCTATAATCTGGTACAGTGCATCAGATGGTGACATTTATGTTTGAGCTGTACATTACATTCTTTTTTAAACAAAGTTTTATTATTGCTATTATTATTATATTGTATGATGTCTGAAGTTGAATCAGACCAAATCTCTCCCAGTTTAGTTCAGAATTACCCAAATTATTTCTGTTTTCAAAATGATAAAGAATCTGCCTCCAATTAAATCAGATGTGCCTGTTAACCAATCAGAAGCTTCCACAGCCATGACATCATCATCTGGGCTTCCCTCATTGCTTAAAGAGACAGCAATCATTCTGTGTGTAAACGTCTGACTATGATGGCATGAATAACTAAATATCTGACATATTCTGTCATTATTGTGGCGTCTAGCAAATAGAAATAATTTGGTAATTCTAAAACAAGAGACGTTTGGTCTGATTTAACTTCAAACAGGGAGGAAAAGAAAACATTTCTGTCTTTTTTTGACATACACAGATGTTGAGTTTCAACTGTATTCCCATTACAGTTGAAAATCTGAAGTTTTAGTAAAATAAAAGTGGGCAAATTTTAAATGTTGACATCTTACCACCTAAGTTAAACTGGAAAAATTGCTGTTCTTAGTGAAACAACTGAGAGAATGCAAATGTGCAGAATGATTGCTGCAGAATATGCAAGAAAGAGCAGAGCAAAGCATAAGAAGTAGAAAAAAAGCAGAAGAAGGCTACAGTCATACATGGTAGAAATCTTTTGCTAAATAGTAAAATTTAGCAAAAGATATAGCATAGTTCAGAAGAAGAAGATGCGACACCAGGAGAT